CTCGCAAGGCCCTTCTAATTCTTGACAACGCTTCGTCCCATCCAGATGCTGATGAGCTAGTCAGCGATGGCATTAGAGCCTTATTTTTGCCTCCAAACGTTACTGCCCTCATCCAGCCTCTAGACCAGGGAGTTCTAGAAACTTTTAAGCGAAACTACAAAAAGAGGCTGCTTAGAAATCTACTGGAGAAGCTAGAGGACGGGCTGGGTGTCACTGATGCTCTCAAGTTAATCACAATGAAAGATGTTGTCTACTGGGTGTCAGAAGCTTGGGATAACGTTAGGGAGGACACTATAAGAAGGTCATGGCGCAAACTTTTCGGAATTGAAAAGGCAAGCCGCCAAGAGACAGCTGCTCCTGAAAACCAGCCAAGAGCATGTCCTCCTGAAAATGAAGAGCTTGTGAATCTTTGTAACCACCTTCCAGTGGCTGAGCCCATCAGTGCAGAGGACATCAGTGAATGGATCAATGGAGATGAGGATCAGGCCCTAACTGATGACGTGATTATCCAGATGCTCAACCAACCAGAAGATGATGACAAGTAAGTTTTTGATTTTTTATTTATGCAAAATTTTAACATAAAAACATAATCCAACATAAATTTTTTAACACAACTATATTTGTTACACTTTAGTTAAATGTTGCCCATTCATCAATCCAAAACTAATTTCATACCAATTCCAACTGCTGCCTTTTGATTGCGTTACGGTTACGTAAAACAAAAGTTTTTTTTACAGCGATGAACCTGATGGGGCGACTGAGAAAATATCACATACAGAAGGTCTAAGAATGATCGAGGGAGCACTGGCATACATTGAACAACAAGAAACCGCAACAACAAACGATTTAGTTTGGCTGCGACGCTGGCGCAACAGGGCGGCTAGCCTAAGATCCTCTAATCCAAGTCAAAAAACAATAACTGATTTCTTTTGGGAAAAAAGATTAGCTTACTTTGTTTATTTTTGTACAATGTACAGTAAATTAATTTTCATTTCTTTGATTTAATTTTGTAAACAGGAATACTGTAGTGTAACTAAACTTCTGTACATTGTGTAGCCTATATCATACGTATTCAGTTGTGCAATAAATTGAGTGTTATATTAAAACAGTGTTTAGTATTGTGAGTGTTACCGTTTCCTCTCACGTTTTATTGCGTACTAATAACATTTCTTGTACTAATAAACTAAACAACAGTTCAGTTAATAACTTTTGTTCATGTTTTAGTATATCTTGAGCTATTTTTAGCCCCGGTAACGATTTTTAGGTTACGTTCCGTGTTATCCGAGGTTCGCCGTATCCGAGGTACCCTCGGTCCCAATTACCTCGGTTAACCGAGGTTCTACTGTAGTACAATATATTAGGTGGCGTTAATGCAAAATTCAAACCGCTTTAAGTGCATTAAGACTTTTGGAAAAAGTATCTTGTTTCAAAATTATAGGCAGAGTCACGAAATAAGACAGACTTGTTGCTCGCCACTCCCAGGCTGCCTTCTAGAAAAATCGCCGGGCAAAATACCCACATTACCTTAATTGCCACCAGTACAAAAGGTTTTTGTGACGAAGTAATCTTATAATTTATTTTGATAGCACCAGGATTGCCTTTTATGACTAATAATGGAAGAAAAACATCTTGTCAGACAATCCGTTTGTGCAAAAAACACGAAACTATAACAGATAGGCCTATCAATTCACGCATGTATATTGCCGCGGGCAGGACTGGAAGTAAACTGAATCAGGTTATGACAGGACGTGGTCTCTATAGTCGTCTGTGTTATCAAAAGCTGATATTGGACTAATTGTAGTGACGGAGGAGAGTGTTGAAAATATAATGGGATTCATAGTTGAGTTTTCCATTCAAAATTATTGACAACAATAACCAATTTATTTTCTGGATATATGATGGTCTCGAAATTCTACAGTACTGCGCGAAAGGAAATTTATTAAATACTTATTTTTGAGTGAAAGCACTCAATTTATTATGAATCCCATTATATTTTCAACATTCTTCTCAGTCACTACAATAGTCAATACGTAGCCCAATATCAGCTGTCCAAAACGCAGACGACAATCCAGAGACCACGTCGGTCCGTCACATCCTGAACCTGATTCAGTTTACTTCCATACAAAATTATACATTCATTATGACATCTAGCAAAAAAATATCCCCCCCAAAATCTCCTAAAAAAATTCTCCCCCCCCCCCCAAAAATTCCTGTGGCGCAAACGCGCCACCGTATCTCCCCTCTGGGCACCCCTGCCCTAGATTAAGATTGTTGCTATCAAAACTGTTATTTAAAACCTAGCCCATCTATAAAAACCTAGACCAAAATATAATTTCACTGTCATAGCCCAATGAGATTGTTGTAATAGCTATAGAACCTAAATACTTCTTATTGTAACTTTATTGGAATTTTGTATTATCTATTTTGGATAAGTTTATATTTATGAAATCCGTTAATAAAGAGGAGTAGGTTGCAAGACAAACACTGAGACATGGCCTTGCCATATATGCTATTTGCATCAAAAGACAAACACTGAGACATGGCCTTGCCTTATAAGTTATTTGCATCCAGAGACAAACACTGAGACATGGCCTTGCCATATAAGTTATTTGCATCAAGAGACAAACTCTGCGACATGGCCTTGCCATATAAGTTATTTGCATCAAGAGACAAACACTGAGACATGGCCTTGCCATATAAGTTATTTGCATCAAAAGTCAAACACTGAGACATGGCCTGGCCATATATGTTATTTGCATCAAAAGACAAACACTGAGACATGGCCTTGCCATAAAAGTTATTTGCATCAAGAGACAAACACTGAGACATGGCCTTGCCATATAAGTTATTTGCATCAAGAGACAAACACTGAGATATGGCCTTGCCATATAAGTTATTTGCATCAAGAGACAAACACTCGGGGAAAAAAACGGTCTTGTACATGGATACATACAGCTTTGTGTTAGTAAAAAAATCCGGAAAAAATTGTATCCATAAAAACCGGATCCAGCCCAAGATCCGGAATTTTTTGAATCCAATCAGGTGCCGGTTCTAGCTCGGATCCGGCGGATCCGGTAGTCCGATATCCGGATCCGACCATCACTATTCAAAACTAACTGCATCTGTTAAGGTTAGACCGTCTACTTGAAAATCAACTTTACATTGATTGTACAGTTTTTTTTTTGCAAATATTTCAAACAGTTGATGGAACCGGTGATTTCTAATACAGTATTAATTTTCTCTACACTAGTGTGAAATCACCGGTTTTTTATTACATGTTTATCAACTGCAAAAAATCATCATTACCTACATTGTTTACTATGCAAAAATAAGGTTAGTAATGTTTACTATCTTATTTGGATTTTACGGAAATTCCATCATTGCGGACGGTTCCATCAACTGTTTGAAATATTTGCAACAAAATAAAACCAGTGTAGAGAAATAGTATATTTCGTACCTAGGGCCGAAAATGAGGTTTTGCCGGCTCGAGATAAGTTTTAAGTTCGAGACGAAGTCGAGAACTTAAATCGATCGAGAGCTGCAAAACCATTTCGGTCCGTGGTACGAACGCTATTTTTCACCACACTATACCCTATTCCCACTATTAAGGTACTAGGCACTAACTACAACTTTAAGGTTATGTGAAGAAATAATTTGAGGAATCAGCAAAAATAAAAATAAATAGTTGCTAGGCAACGGTGACAATAACACAATTCTATTGCAATGCTATGGATTTTGATTGTGTATTTAAAATGCATTCATGTTTTAAGTAAGTAAGCGGACAGCTGATTTTGCGGCCCCGGCCTGTAAAAACCTGCTCGGTCCCCAAATTACGATGACAGCTGGCATGACCAGCAAAACGTAACTTTCAGCCACCAATTAACGTATATAATACAGCCAAAAACATCATAGTGTGGTGAAAATTAATATTACTGACCTAAAAATGGTACTACTGCTTTGATTGCATGCAGGTCAGATAGAGTGCAAAATAAAAATTGATCATCTGTTCCTATCAAACAAGGCTTTTTTAAGCCACAAACATTCAGCATTTGGTATATAACAGCAGAAAGCAGGCATGAATTGTTACTTGTTAGCATTATTATTGACATTATTTGTAAACTGTCTAAAATAAAATGTAGGAATATGGATTCCCCTATTTTACAATTAGTAATTAAATACATTACGTTGACACAAAGTATTCCTCTAGTATTATCTCCTTAACTAAGACTGTAATCTACTGATGACTGATAAGAAATAATAAAATAAACTGTAACCTTGTTCAATATCCTTTCATTCTACTTACGATGACCGGTTTCGTGACGACAGTCACATCATCAGGTCAATCCTCGTAGAACGATTTGTTATATATACATAAAGTTTTTACTGAACACAAAATAAAAATACATTATATTTACAAAGTATTTATAGACAGAAACCATCGCAATGCGTACACGATAACGTCGAGCCGGCCGCGACTCCGAAGTGCACGCATCGCAATGTAAAGTGCACTCTCAACGTAAGCAAGCACGCATGGTTTCTGTCTGTAAATACTTTGTAAATATAATGTGTTTTTGTTTTGTGTTCAGTAAAAGCTTTATGTATATATAACGAATCGTTCTACGAGGATTGACCTGATGATGTGACTGTCGTCACAAAACCGGTTGTCGTAAGTAGAATAAGCTGCAGACAAACCATATTGGCTTTTGTGGCTGAGTTGTATGTGTTTTGTAAATTTGTATTTTTTGGAAATAAATATATAAAAGGATATTGAAAAAGGTAACAGTTTATTTTATTATTTAAATCTTCAATTTCCAGTAGTAGGAAAATGAACTCTGATAAGAAATGCGTGTAGTGTGCAACAAGGTATAGATAAAGCTGAGGCCTACTAATCATACATTCCACAGTGCAGTTGGCATGGGATATTTTATGTTTGGTTCATGGGCTCACGGACGCAAACACCAAAACATAAACACAAACTACACGGCAGACTACTCACTAACCTGTGTTCAGGTGAAGCAATTCTCTTCATAACCACAACATCTCCCATGGTCGGCTTTGGAGAGATTAGGTTGGGCACATTCTGTCCTGAGTCTTCAGTTACTGTCATCTGGCTTTCTAGCTGTTCTGAGGGAGCCGTCAACTTTAACCTATTGGAATTCTTCTAAAAATAAAAATACATCCATAGGTGAATTCTGTTGTGTGTCTTTATACTGGACACTTATCATAGGTGATATATTAAAACACAAATTTTAAATGTACTAGCTTATTCAAGCACAGTTTTACTTACACAACGTGACTGTTAACCTCACTATATAAAAAAACACGCTATATTCCATTGTTTCATCTCTGAAGCGGAACACTCCTTCTTTAGTTGTTGGTGCAACATCAGAGTGTTGCCATCTGGGCAAAACATAATTATAATGAAACATAATGAGATAATATATTGGCCTATACAACAAATTCTATTAATATACTATGTTTTTAAAATCAAATAAATCAAATAGACCAATTAATTAACCCTTCCAAGACAGCCAGGTCCTGTGGCCTAACATGAGTGAATCTGCTACCCTCTGAATCTGCCATGCTAAAAAGGTAAGAAATAGACTTTGTTCACACTTTGCAAATAGAAAAAAAAATTTAGTAATACAGCTTAGTAAGCCTTATTATAACTTAAAACTCGATATCTAAACCTGGTCAATATGATACTTTACTAAGATTGAGGGAAAATATAATTGGGAACTAAAGCGAATCATTCATACCTGGCCAGCCTGTAGCAAGACCTGTACTACTAACTCCGTTGAGGTATCATCTCCCATGCCACAATCTCTGCTACAACGTAGCAGGAGGTTGAAAGAGAACAAGCTCGGCCTCACTCGCTTGTCCAACATCTTGCGCCAGACCTGCCCACCAACATGCATACACAAAGTAGACCTCATACAAACAGTGAGATTTGATGCAATTTAGTGATGTTGCAGCATTGCCTCCAATTATACAAGGCCCTAGTATTGGTTTGGGGCAACATTGCACCAGCCGGCCTAATGCGTATGGTAACAACATTAATAAAATACCCCCGCCGCAACAAACCTGCTGACTAAGCTAATTTCCATTTGTCAGAATTGATTTTCAATTAAATTTAAATAGCATTAGGTTTAACCTAAGTTTGCTGCTACAAGGAAACTAATAAAGTGTGTTTTTTAGCAAAATATTAATAGTTTATTATAAGATAAATATATTTGGGAAGATTGATTAAAATATATCTATAAACAAGCAAACTATAACATTTTACAATATTCTCCGTAAGAATAACGTGGAAATTTAAAATTTATATTTTTTTTTATTCTCTACGTTATTAATAACCGTACAAAAATACTTTGATATACTAAATTATTTGTTTTTTTATCTCTTTTAAATGGTCTAAAAAAAAATTGTTAAATTTTGTATTTAGAGGGTCAAAAATGAGAAAAACCCATTTTTAGCCCATAAAACCGGAATTGCCACTATCTTTGCCGAGGCATTGTTTTGGAGGAGGCCATGATAGTTGCTGGCAACTTGTATTGGACCATGGACCATCACCATATCGATCCACCACATTAAGTGAAGGTGTTCTTTAATGATGCGCGATTGCGAGAGGTTTGAACAATCGAAAAGTTCCTTCTCAAGATGTTCCGCTTATCGATTGTTTCGATTGCTTAGCAAGAGCTTTGTACAATCGAGATGATTCTCTCGATTTTTGCATTCGTTAAGCCTAAACATCTGTTCGCATCTGTCTACATTTCATGGGAGTTGTTACGAGGATGTTAGATCTTTTTCAAGATTCTTATAGAATAGTAGACTATTATGCACAACAAAGGTATATACTGCTGACATATGAATAAGCATTTAGCCTACGTCACTCCGTCATGGCAACAGATATAGAAAATTATTTTAAAGTAATGGGTTATGGTAAATAATACTGTTAACATAACATTTATGAAAACCTTCTGTATCGTTATAAACATTTAGATTTAAATACAAACATTTTGTTTGTAAAATATATCGCCTTGTCAGTAGTTTTTATTGAGTGGTATTGAGTCACTATTCTGCAGATAAAGTAAGTAATATTATATCCATAAACTTTCCTTGGTTTTGAAGTAAGATATATCTCTTATTTGGGGTTAATCCCCGGCAGATACAATAGAAATTAAATGATAGTAAATGACAATGCCGCACTAAACAAAACAGTCCCCATGAACATCTCGTTAAAAAGACTCGGTAAGAACCTCTCGCCTCTCGGTTCTCTAGACAAATGCGAGATACGAGAAATCGTGCTGAAACGAAACAATAGTCACCAACATCTCGATAAAACCTCTTGGTAAGAACCTCTCGCTAAGCAAAAATACAATCGAAACGTTTTGATTGTAACATCTCGCAATCGCGCATCACTAGTAAATTTTACATGACTTATTTTTAAACTTACAGATGAATTTTGTTGTGCAGCTAGTCCATGACCTTAAATTTTTTTAGATTACTGTATTACTATTGTAAAGTAAAGAAAGAAAGTATGAAAGTATTGGATTGGACCTATGCCAATTCGCAGATGAAAGATTTTACGTAACATTCATAGTTCCTTATACAGATTTCTTATGATCTTAGTCAGTTGCAAAGCTACACAGATCCTCTCACAACATTCTACGCTCTTTCTTCACTCATATTTAGGTTTAAATACCCAGATGGCGCCCCTATCTCATAATGTAAAGAAATTTGTAACTAATTTAAATTTATAATTTATACTAGCGGCTATTCCCTGCCCAACAAATCTATTCGGAAGCGAAAAGCTGATGAACTGGAAGAGCCAGGATTGAATCTCACCCGTGGCACTATTTTTTTTTGTCTCGGATTTTTTCATTATCAGCAAGTTTGGTTGGTTTGGTTAGGTTGTGACGGTTTAATTTTTTAATTAAAACATTATACAATTGAATTTGAGCCATTTATAGTTTTATTTTATGAACAGAACTATTTTTTCGATTAAACCTTCATTCGATTTTTCATTATCAGCAAGTCTGGTTAGTTTGGTTAGGTTATGACAGTTTAATTTCATAATACAAAATTATAAAATTGAATTTGAGGCATTTATATTTTTTTTTTTATGAACAAAACTAATTTTTCAATAATTAGTAAACCTTCATTATAGTCAATCAGAAGCCTCCAAATGACACTGTTGGCAAAACTAACCCTGGAATAAAAATTCAGCTGGAGAGAGGGTAGAAGTTTCTCTCTTGAACAGATTTGGTGGGCAGGGACTAGCTGCTAGTCATCTATATGGACCAGCTGTAGCCAATTTTTTGTTAAAAAAGAACATAGTTGTGTGAGCCAGTCACAGAATGCGCTACTAGCGCTAGTGACTAAAACTCTATTTTCCACCTTATTACTTTCTCCCCCTATACCATAGTATATGGAGAAAGTATTGTTTTCGTCAAAATTTTCGAGTTTGAGTTTTGAGTGGATATATTCGTTTTGGGTCCCCCTGGACCCAAAAAAGTGGTTTTCGAAGTGATGTCTGTGTGTGTGTGTGTGTGTGTGTGTGTGTGTGTGTGTCTGTGTGTCTGGATGTGTACAGAGCTAGAGACTACACCTGTGGTCCGATTTCGATGAAATTTGGTATGTAGGTTCTAATCCATGGTATCTCCAGGCGTTTTTTTCATTTTTTTGAAATTTTGATTTTTAATGGGGATTTTCCCATAAAAACCCATAAAAAACCGGAAAAATCTGATTTTCTCAAAAATGGCCCGAACGATTTTGATAAACATTTAGTATGTTGTAGCCCTTTAAATTCTGAACAAAATGGTACAAATCCCATTTCTGTAAAAATTACCGTTCAAAAGTTATGGTAAATGATGTTATTTCCCCATAAAAACCCCATAAAATAACGAAAAATTGGATTTTGGACAAAAATCCGGTTTTGATTTAACATAGTGTGTTTTGGTCCTTACAATTTTCATAGTTTTTTTTTCATTTTTTCGAAATTTTTATTTTTAATGGGGATTTTCCCATAAAACCCCATAAAATAACGGAAAAATAGGATTTTCCAAAAAATGGCCCGAACGATTTTGATAAAAATTTAGTATGTTATATTCCTTTATATTCTGAACAAAATGGTACAAATCCCATTTCTGTAAAATTACGGTTCAAAAGTTATTGTAAATTATGTTCTTTTCCCATTAAAAAAAAACTACATAAAATAACGAAAAATCAGATTTTCCTAAAATTGGCTCGAACGATTTTGATAAAAATGTTGTATGTTATAGTCCTTTAAATTCTGAAGAAAATTGTACAAATCCCATTTCCGTATATTCACTCTCACCGCTTACACATGATAAAGGTTGTTGACAAACTTATGGGAGAAAGTATGTGTCAGAATGCTGATACCGTTTATTTTTTATTGCTGGCCAGGTTGATGGGTCTTAACAGTTGCTATAGCTCACAATAAGTCATTCCATTAGTTTGGATTGGTAAAAAAGATAGTGTATTCGACAGAATTGAGTGATTTAGATCAGCATTATCTGCCGGTGGCTCTCATCAACTATGACACTTTTGATTAAAAAACTGGCTACAAATTTAACATGGGGATGGAATGTCTAGTTGTATTAATAGTCAAAGATTAAACATACTCCCTTAGTAGATTTGTCATCCTTATGGAACAGCTGAAACCAATTTTATTGATAGTTCTGTACATCGCACGGTAGAGGTCGTGTTTTGTTTATAAATTGTTTCTTGTTATTTCAGTCTTTAAAACTTTTTTTAACCTAATGAAACGATCTAATCATAAACAATAACTGATCTCCTAGTTATATAACCAAACATTAAAGCAGAAATATTAAAAATAACCAATAACCAAATAAAATAATATAAACAAAATTTTGTTTACACTAGCGATCAGTGTTGACGTACATGAACTAGACACGAAAAACAAGCTTCAAAATGTACAATGGGATGAGAAGTCTACTTGTGTTGCTTTTACTTACTTCCACCATGGTTAAGTCTATGTTATCGCTGAGAAACAAGTTATTGGGAAGAGATTTTTACCTCTTGCCAGGTAGTGGTCAATGAACCACTATTATTTAGTTTTAATTTTGTTTATGAAATATAAAATTACCAGTAGTGCTTGTCTAAATCCTGCTGACTTGTCAGTGATACAAGCCTGCAACAAGAAGTTAAACGTTTCACCTGTCACCATTATCTTCTTTTCGATCATTTCATCTACCAGTTCAAAGGCTGTTTGTATGTCCCCACAACGCCCAAAAGCTGAAAACCCCATACATATTCAAATTATTTTAAGCTGTTAATAGGGAGTGTTTAATTTTTTTTAAGATAAACACATTTTCGATGTATTTTGTATATCTATCTATATCTAAAAAAGAGGAAGTATGTATGTATATTGTATAGGCTACTAGCTGGCCCGACAGACGTCGTCCTGTCCTAATGTGGTCTTATGACAAATGCTCGTTCATTTTCAAGATGAGCTCGTTCGCATGGCTCAAATCACGTCCTGGTTGAAGTTCGTTCGCTACGCTCACTCACCTTTTGGTTGCAAATTAGCTGTTGTCATAAATTTAAAAAAATAATAGTGCTGCACCTTGTTGGTAAACCTATTAACTATTAATACTATTGAACATCACAGAATCAAATTGTTTAGTTGAACCAGCTGTTAAGATTCTTTAATTCCATTGAAATATTAGTACTCATAAGGTTAACATGGGAAACCCCAGAGCCACTGGGGCGGAGCCCTTTTGATGGATCTGCACCAAACTTCACACAAACCACCCTTGGATAATGCTTAATAATGCCTGAAAGTTTCATTACAATCTGTCGAGTGGTTTGGAGTCCGTAAAGGACAAACAAACAAACATACATACATTGGATTTTATATATATAGATAGGTACCCTATGGACTCCGAAACCGCTCGACAGATTTTAATGGAATTTTCAGGCATTATTCAAGGCTAGTTTGTGTGAAGTTTGGTGTAGATCCAACAAAAGGGCTCCGCCCCAGAGGGTTTTAAGGAATCCAATGTCAGACTTTTGGAACTACAATGTTTACAAATAAATCCTTATATATAATACGTGAAGGCAATTACAGAATGCAGCACAGAAAACTATTTTACTTTATGTTACGTCAAAATATATTAAACCCCAATCACAGCACACCTGTCAGGGTGTCTACTACATTCTGGATAAAAAATTCATGGACAATTCCCGTACATTTAAGGACACTTTGTGGTAGCCTTTGTCGGTGTGATTACCGAATAATTTTCCTGATTTTTTAAACTGTATTAATCTTTTTTTTCACTGTAGTTGTACCAGAGAGAAAAGTAAATAATAATAGACAAGAGTTAGCCTAAATTTCAAAATAGAAATTTATTGAAAGTAAACAAACGTATACTTTAGGTAAAGCTTAAAAAATAGAGTGACAGGGAAACGCAATCATTGTCTCCTGCGATAGCGACAAAATACTGAATATCTCCATCGGTCACGGAAACATCATAACATAGCTTATCCGATCCAGGCGGATTAATTTGGCATGATTCGCCCTGACACAACGTTAGGTTCTCGACTACTTTTGAAAAAAAAAGAATCTTTAATGCATATATTGTAACTCAGTTCTTGGTACAAAATCGGTATGGTAAGAGGCTACCAGTAAGCACAGAGTGATTATTGTCTTTCCATTTGCAAAGTTAATATCGACACATAGCAATCATTAGTTTATCTTAGGCTCAATTACATTTTCTTAGTATATTTTACAGCTCTTTCAAAGAATCAAAATACCCAGTCATAGACCTAATTATTTAGGAGGGCCTATATCAACTGAGTAACAAACAATGAGGTTATAGCAGTCACTTTCATCATTCTAGTTCATAAGCTTTAGATTGCTTAAAGCATACAACACAATAAATAAATATGGGAAACAAAAAACATTGTAACCTGAACAGCCAACAATATAAGACAAAGATACAGAAAATGCAATGACATAATTTGAAACCAAGTAGGCCTACGTATTGATAAAAAATTTATGCAAACAACAATGCTTGTGGTTTTGTCAATTGAGAGATAAAATACCCATAAAAAAGGGTTTAACTTACAAAATAAGACTGTAGATTAGTTACATGTTTAATATGAAACCATAAACAGTTTAATGGCACTAGTGTTTAATGGCCATTGCCTAGGCCGGCGGCAAATTGAATCTTCAAAGACTGAAGTACAAGTAAAAAGTGAAATTTAACAGCCATTATAAAACTATTATTTTCATGATAAAATAGGTTTGGGATCTAATAATAATTACCCTAGTTATAAATAAAGAAGTTGTAAAGGAATAAAAGTGATACAACTTTTATGAGCTAGCTACTGAGTCAACAGTTCTTGGAAGTACTTGACTTGACACTTGATTGTCGTGATAAAATATTAATGGGTTTGAGACTGCTAATGGGGTTTTTATTGCATAATTACTCTAGTAATAAATTATGAAAATGTAAACAAACATCTGATAAAACTTTTATGTGCTACTAACCAACTAGCGATCGATAAAATTATGGCCCATTAAAAATTTAAGGACATAGTTTGGCATTTAAGGACAATTCCCGTACATTTCATGGCCAGTAAAAAATTAAGTACAATTCCCGGTTTTCCCGGATTTCCCGGTTGGTAGACACCCTGACCTGTGCACTCAACAATGTTTAAATTCTCCACTATTAAATATGTAAACAAACATATAAAGTAAAAATATAAATCAATAAAAGGGAAGGCAATTCTATACCCACACAATGTAGCATAAATTATTAAGTGAATAATAATCATGCATGCTATCACAGGTATTCAAATGCCTCCCAATTTGTCATTAAACTACCACATTACTGCCATTAAAATGATTAAGTTCGTATTTTGCATTCTAGGCTTGTAACCTTGAATGCTTGTCCTTGATAGGTTATAATATTTGATTCTTTAAAGGTCTATTATATCTGTAATGCAAGTGTTAACAATAGTTCTTCTTAATATTTCTGTATTATTACCGAAATAATTCTGAATCATAGTATTAGTAAACAAATTCAAATTACATAGTTTTCAATATTTTTTTATAGCAGGCACATGATTTACCTAGCATCTAAAACGTTAACAATGTATTACAATATTGCGTCTTTACATTAGCCAAGAAAATAAATTTAAATGTTCTTACGTTAGGTTAATAGGAAACATATAATCTATTGACAAAAATTGAAGCAGTTATTTCGATTGTAAAAGCAATATAAAGGAAACTCAACACTAAAATCAGGAATATCCGTCAAGTCGTTGATTAAAAATCGTGGAATAAAATATCCCTGTCACGTTTTAATATAAGAATATTATATCTTTTCCTATTATTTACTATAGTGGGGTTTACAATCTAAAAACTGTTATTAAAACATGTAACATTATTACTCTAAAATTCAGATAGACGTCTTAAGCCTGACGCTTACAAGGTGGCTAGGAAGTCTCTTCGCCGGGCCATCAACCGGAGCAAACGCAGTTGCTGGGAGAAATTAAGGGACAATGTCGATTCCGATCCGTGGGGCCTGGGCTACAAGATAGTAATAAAGAAGCTTGGCACCCACTCTCCACCTTCCGTTATGGACGGGGCCTCTATGGAGAGGATTGTAAAGTCCCTTTTCCCGACTCACACACTGCACCCATTGCGGGAGTTCGGAAGGGTGGACGACGTACCGCTATTCAGTCTCGAGGAGTTGGAGGCGGCCATTCTATCCCTGAAGAACAACAAGGCTCCTGGACCGGATGGGGTACATGGTGAGGCCCTGAAGAAAGTCTTTTCAATAAATCCACAAATCCTTTTGAGCACGTACAAATAATGCCTGTCTGGCCGAGGGGAAGTTTCCCTTCTGCTGGAAAACAGCTAGCCTTGTGCTCGTGGGAAAGGGAAAAGGAAACCCAGACCTACCATCCTCTTACAGACCTCTCTGTATGTTGGACACTGCTGGGAAAGTCTTGGAAAAGTTGATCCGTTCCCGACTGAATTCAGCCGTGGTTGCTGCAGGAAATCTATCCTCTCGTCAGTACGGCTTCAGGAAGGGACGGTCAACGGTTGACGCTATTAAGGAGGTAAAGCGAGCCGTAATGAGAGCTGAGGAGTTTAACAACTATTCTCGTCGGGTTGTGCTGCTTGTAACACTTGAGGTGCGAAACGCATTTAACTCCGCGAGGTGATGCGATATGCTGGACGCTCTGGAGAACACTTTCCACGTCCCGGCATACCTCATGTGCATCATAGAGGACTACCTCCGGTACCGCCTCCTCATTTATGACACTACAGAAGGCTCCAGGACGATGGATGTAACTTCTGGTGCTGCTCAAGGATCCATACTGGGCCCGGACCTCTGGAACGTCGCCTACGACAGCCTCTTGAGATCCGAGATGCCTGAGGAAACTGTCTTAGTTGGGTATGCAGATGACGTTGCGGCTTTAATAGCTACACGTAGCATTGAGCTTGCCCAGCTGAAACTAAATCGAGTCATGCGCACCATTAACGCATGGATGGCAGAACATGGTCTCTAGCTCACTCCAGCTGCAGAAGGCTGTTGATGTCTGCGGTTCAGTCCGTGCTCCTGTATGGTGCGGAAGTGTGGGCAGACGCTCTCAATAAGGAGATATATAGGATGCGGCTCGCCCGAGTGCAGCGTCAGGCAGCACTAAGGGTAGCATCTGCCTATCGAACAGTGTCCGAACCCGCCGTCCTGGTGGTTGCTGGAGTCATCCCCGTCAAACTTTTGGCGGCGGAGAGGAATGCAATTTATCAGCGCCGTGGGGAGGACCAGGCAAGAATTGAGGAACGCACCCGAACCTTCCAGCTGTGGCAGGAGAGCTGGGAACAGGAGACAAGGGGGCTCTGGACCAGGCGACTGATACAGCAAGTCCAACCTTGGGTTAATCGGCGGTGCGGAGAGGTGAACTTCTACCTCACCCAATTTCTGACGGGTCACGGCTTTTTCCGGTCGTACTTGTTCAGGATGGGCAAAGCCGTGTCACCCGATTGCATATACTGCCCAGGCATTCCCGATGACGTGGAACACACTTTCTTCCACTGCCAGCGTTGAGAAAGGCCCCACCTGGAGGCTCAACAGTTTGTAGGTCTGCTGTCGGTGGACACGGTCATACCGATGATGATGGAGGGTGAGGACAATTGGACCTGTGTGTCACTTTACATCCAGGGTGTTCTCCGTGCCAAGAAGCTCGACCTTGACCGGGATGCGGTGTAGGTCATAGAAAAAAAATAATGCCAGAAACGGTGCGAGCCCTGTGGGCTTAGGTCACATGTTGGCCTGACTTGAAGTAATGTGACAAACAATTCCAGGTCTGTGTCCAACAGAGCAGAGGGGGGGTTTTTTAGTAAGTAGTCTGATAAATTCAGGAGTCTCAGACTACAGGCTGGCTACCTGTGTGCGTAAAAGCATTTACCCTCCTCACCCTAAAAAAAAAAAAAAAACTCTAAAATTCAACAAAATTTAGAATTAGACAACTAGCTTTTACTTGTATGCCTACAATGCTTTGGTTTTTAACTATTAGGCCTAGATTTACAGCTATTCTATAATTGTTATGAAACGTAATATACTGTATCTTTATTGACACTGACATTTTGAAATACGGCAGTGTACGATTATTTAGTCGTACAAGGTTGGCAACGCTCCGTGCAGTGGGCGCGGGCGGGTTAGCGACTTCCAGAGTTAGCGAATTCCGCCGCGGGACAAAATCGAGTCAGCGGATTCCAAAGTTAGCCAATTCCTGACTGAGATGGTTAGCCAGTTCCAGAGTTAGCCAGTTCCGACACACGACCGAGTTCCTAAGTTAGCCAATTTCTACATCTCGTAGAAAAGTTTAAAGGAGAAATAGTCTTAACTTAAGAATATCAGATGATTTCATCCGAATTACCCTTACACAAAATAAATTGATCGAGAATTATTTTCTGGCCTTTGTGTTCACAGCGGATGCCGTAACAATGACGCACATTGATTATATGCTGGGCCAAACCACAGGCACCACAAAGGACGATTGCCTAGCAAATTTTACAACAGATTAGAATTTTTCATTATGGTTCTGGTGAACCTAGGTTTTGGTGTAACCAGGTGATGATAAAAGAGAGGTTATACTTTTCATGTCTTATGTAATATTAAAGAATTGAATGGGTGGCTAAACCAAGTTTATACTTCCCATTATACTACATATTCACCTTTGATCATGGCGTGGTATAGAGTCTGATTCATTAGGAAAGCTCTTTCTACTAACGTAACTCTGAGATGCTGCGCTCGGAGGAGAGCATCTTCAGGGTATGGACTGTTGGCACAGGCATTGAACAAACCTGTGTATGTGTGACCTGTCACTTTCAAGCCACGACCCCTCATCTACAACAAGTCAGATTGAATTAGTTACCGGTAATCTATAAACAATTACACAAGCTATATTGATTCACTTAGTAGCCCTGCATATTACATGAGTATTTTCAAATATGCACAATAGAAGCATAAAAATGAACAATCAGTTAGGAATAGATATATTTCCAGTAATATAAATAAATGCATAGCTTTTTACATAAAGATAAATAGCTTAGAGTTGTTATATCCTTACATATAATACGTGAAGGCGATTTCTACAAAACACTACTCCTCCATTAATTATGGACGGGTTTTTACAAACTATTTGTCAAAATTAAGTATTTTTTTGTGTAGACCCCCCTTTCACCAATTCCTGTAGTAAAAGTCCTCGGGCTTTGCCACGCAGGCCATCAAAATCCTAATGTATTTCTTATTAAGAAAAGATTTTGTTTACTTGAAGAGACATATTTGTATTGATTGCATACTTAAACAGCTGATCATGGTAAACAGGATATACACCAGAGCGTTCGTTTTCAGAGTGAGTTGGTTTGCAGTTTCGATAACTGGACTGGAGTGATTGATTACATTATCTTTGAGTTGACTCTTTTAATTCATCGGAAATTATGACTGTTATTCGTTTTGAAATGAAGCCTGTAATACTTTGCAATTGCTCAAATAATTTGAGCAACAGGTGCACTAGTTTATATATATTTAAGGAGATTTAACTACTAAATTAATCATATCAACCTCTAAAGGATTTAACTTTACCATTTTATAGAGACTAAATGCTTTCCTTGTGTAACCAACATTTCCACAAGCTCCTATCAGTAAATTGTAAATATAGTTGTCAGGATTAACAAGATCCTCTTTTAACATTCGAGTTTCAAGAACATCAATTGCTTGGCTGACCTGTAAGCAAAACAAAATTAGGGAAGTAATGTTTTGTATAATAAAGTAAACAGAGAATTTATTTACTACTCCGACTTCCATTGGAAGATAACTCTATATTTGACCATATAAATACACCCTGGGTTTTATAATTTAATTTGTTCTGATTAAATTCACAACCATGAAAAGATGCATTTAATTCCATCTTTAATTTTTTTCAACTCAGGTTGTGCAACTTAAAAGTTTGCGATCGGAATTTTACCTCCCTAGGCTGTGACATCAGTTTTACTCAGGGATCAAATTCCGCTACCCCTGTTTATTCAAGCAACACCACTATATTAAATCGAGACTTGTATGGTATTGAGGATGTTAATCTTGCATTTGAATACTTTATAAATAAACTGTAAACAGTGTATAAAACTAGTTACCAAAAAGGAGTAAAAAAGTTCAATAAAGAAAACAAAGTAGACATTATTTTATGATTTAACGATAATTTAAGAAGCACGAGAAGCACCACAGCTGTTCATAGCTGTTTTCATCTCGTTGTAAGATCTGTATAGTTACAGATACCAAATTATAAAAATTACACGACACTGAAGAACTACAACAGAGATACAAAAAAATTGAAGAGGTCTAAAATCAAGGAAGCCAAAATCATGCACAATGAAAACACAATAAAAAGTTGTATGAATAATGTTCATGGTTGTTTTTTTTTTGTTGTTTTTTTTATTAAATCAAAACTTATAGCCTAATAGGGACTCTAAATTGCAAACTTAATTTAGCCACAGTGTTGTCAAATAACTCACTGAAGGTAATCATTACAATAGCTGTAAATTTTTATTTCGGAATTTAATTTTTATAGTTGTCATTGAAGGATAAGGATTAAATACCTTTTTTTGTTCTAAAAACTTCTTAATGATCCTGCCATATTGATTGATGGTAAGTCTAGTTTTATTTTCATCACCATACACATATTCTTTGACGACAATATCATCCTCTTCTTCAGGTAGATTTTGAAGTTGCTGATAGGTTTTCCAATCCTTACTTAAGGTACCAAAGCTATCAGGATTATGCTTGTCAGAAGATAAATAACTTTTCAATTTATCATCAGTACCATCTCCAACAGTCCTTTCTTTTTCAACTTTTTCTTTAACTTTTTTTAATGATTCTGTCTTAGCAGAATTTACGACATTTCTACTAAAGTTTTGATGGTGGTTTTCAAATGCTGTCCGTTTACAGAATGTAAGGTAATTTCTTCTGACAAGTCTTAGTAAAAATAAACTTGTATTAGTACAGTGTGAATTCATTTTTGGTTTAAGTTTTTGCTGAATGTCTACCTGTAAAAATAAATATCTTAACGCTCTTTTCACACTATGTGGGTTTTTTCGTACGGTTAAAAATCATATGTGTAAATATTTGTTACTGGTATAAGTGTAAATAAGATCCTGACGTAACAAAATCGCCTTGGCTCTAATACACTGTAAGACGAGTTTGCAATCTACTAGGCCTTTTTTTACTCAGGTTGTGAGCCATCCTTAGTAGTGCACTTGCTTGATAGGTCCAAATAATAAAAGCTCTGGAAACTTTTGACGCTGGTGACGTAACACGTCATTCACCAGATTTTAAGTAAAACCATAACTTAAAGAAGTAGGCCTAAGGTACAGAGGAAACTTGCTTATGGGATGACCGAATGCTTTCAGCTCTAGTATGTTGTGCCGGAAATATACTTGTAACAAGCAAGGAAGAGCCCAAGCTGCGAGCATTGTAGTGCCATGGCTGTGGGCCAGTGGCGTATGTAGTAAATGCAAACTTTTACACTGCACGATTGTTTGGCGAATGGGAGCCCACCAGCAAGTGCAAATAGATCAGCTGTTGTTCTGTTAATTGAGCGAAGCTCTTATACGTCGACTCTTATGCATTTTGTAATACGCAAACTCCTCCTAGACGGCTGAATCAATCGTTTTCAAATTTTGCATGGTGATGAAGACCATATCGGTGAGTGCCAACATCTATATGGCTTATTGCGGACATTTTCCATCACGAATGTAAAAAAAAACAATACACAACGTTTCGGGATCTGGAATCTGATCCCGTCTTCAGGTGAAAAAACTTAACTAACACATTACAACTAACAATACACAAACGCCCAACCTAAGTTGGAATACACTACCGAGGGTAGTAGTCAAAAAATATGCACTGTATAGCAGTCAAGTCATGATACAACATGCAATTAATAACAAATCACAAAACACTATAATCTATAAAAGGTTTACGTACAAAAAACTCACACAATGGAACACTAACAACACCGTACGCTATGACTCCACCAATGAGACTGAACCAACATGGCTGACCAATCGGAAACACGGAGACAACAGAAATGGCTTCCGGTCCCTGGAAAAGTAAAACCAACAAAATGGCGGAGCGATGTACGATGCCGCAAGATGGGTGTTAATTATGTTTATTCATATCACGAGTTTTACTACGAGTTAACATAACGTGCGAATTTTGAGGAGAACTCGTTATTTCCCTATTTATTGAACAATTAAGTTCCCTATCCTTTAGTTCCTTGTTCAAAATGGGTAGCCAAAGTGGCCTTATTTCAACCGATGACTGACTGATTGGTTGGTCTGCTAATTTAATGTATGAGGCTTCAATGAGTTTACGTTTGAAAAAATGAGGTTCCTTATGGACAATTTTTGCCTCTTCAAAATTCATACGATGATTTTCGGACCAGCAATGATGAGCGATCTTAGATTTTTCCACTAAACCTTTTTTGGTGTTTTCTCTGTGTTCTTTGATTCTAATGTTCAACGGTCTTTTTGTCTCGCCATAGTAAGGCCTGGAACAATCATTGCAATTTATTCTGTAAACACAGTTTTTAGTATCCTGAGTGTCATTTTTGGGTTTTGTTTTGACGAGACTCTGCCTAAGTGTGTTTTGTGTCCTAAATGCTGTTTGCACATTAAATTTCCTAGCAACCCTTCTGATTTTTTCCGACAGTCCTGACACATACGGGATTGACATGTGGACGAGTTTTTCCTTGCGATTTTGTAAAGGTTCACGCGTAGCCCTATCTTTCTTGCATTTGTTTATAATGGATCGAGGGTATCCGTTACTAGCCAAATCCTGTTCTACTTTCTTAATTTCATCCTTTAACTCATCCTGATTGGAGCAAATGCTCTTAGCCCTGTCAAACAGAGAGTAAGCAACCCCCTCCTTGACAGAAATTTGGTGGTTTGATTGAAAGTTTAGATACTGCCCTGTGTGTGTCTTTTTTCTGTAAACAGATGTTCTAAGACTGTTCAAATGCTTTTCTACGCACACGTCCAAAAAGGGGAGTTTGTTTTGTGATTCCACCTCCATGGTTAGTTTTATGGAGGATGAAACGCTATTAAGATGCTCTAAAAACTCATTCAATTTATCATCTCCATGAGGGAAAACCACGAAAGTGTCATCGACATATCTCCACCATATCCTCGGTTTGAGCCGAGCTGAAGCCAAAGCTTTTTGCTCAAACTCCTCCATAAAGATGTTGGCAAAGATAGGTGACAATGGTGACCCCATGGCCATACCCTCATCTTGACGGTATAATTTACCCTCTAATTGGAAATAGTTACATTGAGTACACAACTCCAAAAGTTCCATTATGACGTTAACAGGGAGTTTAGTTCTGTTTGCTAAAGTATCGTCGTTTGTGAGACGGGTCTCAATTATTTTTAGGGTTTCCGAAACGGGGACATTCGTAAACAGACTTTCAACATCGAAGCTGACCAGCTTGTCAGTATCAGCCAGTACGATAGATTTAGACTTTTCTACAAAATCTTTGGAGTTTTTGATAAACGAATCAGTGTTTCCTACTAAAGGCTTTAAAATGTCCAGAAGGACTTTAGACAATTCCCTACAAGCAGAATCACGGGAGCTAACTATTGGTCTCAGAGGAACGTTAGGTTTGTGGATCTTAGGTAACCCGTACATGTGTGGAATTTTGGAATGGTGTGGTGTCAACCGAGTCCTTTGTTTGTCGCTAAAAAACTTTTTGTGTTTTCTTAGAGTACTAGCGATTTTACGCTCGAAAGTTTCTGTGGGGTCTTTTTTCAATTGGGTGTATTGGCCAGATTGCAAAGTTTCTAACATTTTTTCTTCGTATGTCACAGTATCAAGAACTACCGTGGCATTCCCTTTATCCGCGGGCAAAATCTTTACAGTACCGTCTTTCCCAAGGACTGATACTGCTTTGGTTTCCTCTTTACTAAGATTAGGTTTAGGAGTAGGAATTTTCTTTAGTAAAATACTAGCTTCACAACGGAACTGATCCCCCTGAGACTCAGGTAACTGAGAAACAGCAGACTCAATCCCTGTCACAAAATCCAGCGTTTTAACTGATTTAGGCAAAACGGAAAAATTTAGCCCTCTGCTCAAAACAGAAATCTCAACTGGGTTTAGAACTTTAGAAGACAGATTCACAACTTGGTTTTTTGCATCATCACACTGTGAAATTTGAGTATTCCTATCAATGTTATCGGGAGGTCTGAGATGTTGTAGTTTAGCCTTTTGCCTAGCCTTCACATTTTCCGATTCTTTGTTGAACCTATTTTGTATGCTTTGAAAAATGTTTTGAAAATCAGAACCTATTATTAGTGCCAATTCAGCTTTTTTGTTCTCAATAGAGCTTTTCAGAAGTCTTTTTTCTAAACGGTGGTGTTCAATTCTTTCATTGATTAGAGATTTAGAAGCTAAAGACATTATTTTGCTGGCTTTGAAACTTTTGTAAGGAGGTTTTAGGTAAAAACCTTTAGGTATCAAATTTTCACGTTTGCATTTCACAAGAAAGGTCAAATGGTTTGTGTGATTAGCCAATTTTAAATGCATTTGTTCCAATTCACTTATTTGATTACTTACTCCGGGTCCGTACCGAGAATCAATTCTTTGTTTGAAGTTCATTGTTGGTGATGGTGAGTTAATGTTGTTCAAAGGTTTATTGCGGACATTTTCCATCACGAATGTAAAAAAAAACAATACACAACGTTTCGGGATCTGGAATCTGATCCCGTCTTCAGGTGAAAAAACTTAACTAACACATTACAACTAACAATACACAAACGCCCAACCTAAGTTGGAATACACTACCGAGGGTAGTAGTCAAAAAATATGCACTGTATAGCAGTCAAGTCATGATACAACATGCAATTAATAACAAATCACAAAACACTATAATCTATAAAAGGTTTACGTACAAAAAACTCACACAATGGAACACTAACAACACCGTACGCTATGACTCCACCAATGAGACTGAACCAACATGGCTGACCAATCGGAAACACGGAGACAACAGAAATGGCTTCCGGTCCCTGGAAAAGTAAAACCAACAAAATGGCGGAGCGATGTACGATGCCGCAAGATGGGTGTTAATTATGTTTATTCATATCACGAGTTTTACTACGAGTTAACATAACGTGCGAATTTTGAGGAGAACTCGTTATTTCCCTATTTATTGAACAATTAAGTTCCCTATCCTTTAGTTCCTTGTTCAAAATGGGTAGCCAAAGTGGCCTTATTTCAACCGATGACTGACTGATTGGTTGGTCTGCTAATTTAATGTATGAGGCTTCAATGAGTTTACGTTTGAAAAAATGAGGTTCCTTATGGACAATTTTTGCCTCTTCAAAATTCATACGATGATTTTCGGACCAGCAATGATGAGCGATCTTAGATTTTTCCACTAAACCTTTTTTGGTGTTTTCTCTGTGTTCTTTGATTCTAATGTTCAACGGTCTTTTTGTCTCGCCATAGTAAGGCCTGGAACAATCATTGCAATTTATTCTGTAAACACAGTTTTTAGTATCCTGAGTGTCATTTTTGGGTTTTGTTTTGACGAGACTCTGCCTAAGTGTGTTTTGTGTCCTAAATGCTGTTTGCACATTAAATTTCCTAGCAACCCTTCTGATTTTTTCCGACAGTCCTGACACATACGGGATTGACATGTGGACGAGTTTTTCCTTGCGATTTTGTAAAGGTTCACGCGTAGCCCTATCTTTCTTGCATTTGTTTATAATGGATCGAGGGTATCCGTTACTAGCCAAATCCTGTTCTACTTTCTTAATTTCATCCTTTAACTCATCCTGATTGGAGCAAATGCTCTTAGCCCTGTCAAACAGAGAGTAAGCAACCCCCTCCTTGACAGAAATTTGGTGGTTTGATTGAAAGTTTAGATACTGCCCTGTGTGTGTCTTTTTTCTGTAAACAGATGTTCTAAGACTGTTCAAATGCTTTTCTACGCACACGTCCAAAAAGGGGAGTTTGTTTTGTGATTCCACCTCCATGGTTAGTTTTATGGAGGATGAAACGCTATTAAGATGCTCTAAAAACTCATTCAATTTATCATCTCCATGAGGGAAAACCACGAAAGTGTCATCGACATATCTCCACCATATCCTCGGTTTGAGCCGAGCTGAAGCCAAAGCTTTTTGCTCAAACTCCTCCATAAAGATGTTGGCAAAGATAGGTGACAATGGTGACCCCATGGCCATACCCTCATCTTGACGGTATAATTTACCCTCTAATTGGAAATAGTTACATTGAGTACACAACTCCAAAAGTTCCATTATGACGTTAACAGGGAGTTTAGTTCTGTTTGCTAAAGTATCGTCGTTTGTGAGACAGGTCTCAATTATTTTTAGGGTTTCCGAAACGGGGACATGGCTGATACTGACAAGCTGGTCAGCTTCGATGTTGAAAGTCTGTTTACGAATGTCCCCGTTTCGGAAACCCTAAAAATAATTGAGACCCGTCTCACAAACGACGATACTTTAGCAAACAGAACTAAACTCCCTGTTAACGTCATAATGGAACTTTTGGAGTTGTGTACTCAATGTAACTATTTCCAATTAGAGGGTAAATTATACCGTCAAGATGAGGGTATGGCCATGGGGTCACCATTGTCACCTATCTTTGCCAACATCTTTATGGAGGAGTTTGAGCAAAAAGCTTTGGCTTCAGCTCGGCTCAAACCGAGGATATGGTGGAGATATGTCGATGACACTTTCGTGGTTTTCCCTCATGGAGATGATAAATTGAATGAGTTTTTAGAGCATCTTAATAGCGTTTCATCCTCCATAAAACTAACCATGGAGGTGGAATCACAAAACAAACTCCCCTTTTTGGACGTGTGCGTAGAAAAGCATTTGAACAGTCTTAGAACATCTGTTTACAGAAAAAAGACACACACAGGGCAGTATCTAAACTTTCAATCAAACCAACAAATTTCTGTCAAGGAGGGGGTTGCTTACTCTCTGTTTGACAGGGCTAAGAGCATTTGCTCCAATCAGGATGAGTTAAAGGATGAAATTAAGAAAGTAGAACAGGATTTGGCTAGTAACGGATACCCTCGATCCATTATAAACAAATGCAAGAAAGATAGGGCTACGCGTGAACCTTTACAAAATCGCAAGGAAAAACTCGTCCACATGTCAATCCCGTATGTGTCAGGACTGTCGGAAAAAATCAGAAGGGTTGCTAGGAAATTTAATGTGCAAACAGCATTTAGGACACAAAACACACTTAGGCAGAGTCTCGTCAAAACAAAACCCAAAAATGACACTCAGGATACTAAAAACTGTGTTTACAGAATAAATTGCAATGATTGTTCCAGGCCTTACTATGGCGAGACAAAAAGACCGTTGAACATTAGAATCAAAGAACACAGAGAAAACACCAAAAAAGGTTTAGTGGAAAAATCTAAGATCGCTCATCATTGCTGGTCCGAAAATCATCGTATGAATTTTGAAGAGGCAAAAATTGTCCATAAGGAACCTCATTTTTTCAAACGTAAACTCATTGAAGCCTCATACATTAAATTAGCAGACCAACCAATCAGTCAGTCATCGGTTGAAATAAGGCCACTTTGGCTACCCATTTTGAACAAGGAACTAAAGGATAGGGAACTTAATTGTTCAATAAATAGGGAAATAACGAGTTCTCCTCAAAATTCGCACGTTATGTTAACTCGTAGTAAAACTCGTGATATGAATAAACATAATTAACACCCATCTTGCGGCATCGTACATCGCTCCGCCATTTTGTTGGTTTTACTTTTCCAGGGACCGGAAGCCATTTCTGTTGTCTCCGTGTTTCCGATTGGTCAGCCATGTTGGTTCAGTCTCATTGGTGGAGTCATAGCGTACGGTGTTGTTAGTGTTCCATTGTGTGAGTTTTTTGTACGTAAACCTTTTATAGATTATAGTGTTTTGTGATTTGTTATTAATTGCATGTTGTATCATGACTTGACTGCTATACAGTGCATATTTTTTGACTACTACCCTCGGTAGTGTATTCCAACTTAGGTTGGGCGTTTGTGTATTGTTAGTTGTAATGTGTTAGTTAAGTTTTTTCACCTGAAGACGGGATCAGATTCCAGATCCCGAAACGTTGTGTATTGTTTTTTTTTTTTTTTTTTACATTCGTGATGGAAAATGTCCGCAATAAACCTTTGAACAACATTAACTCACCATCACCAACAATGAACTTCAAACAAAGAATCTATATGGCGTTAAAAAAGTCTCTCAGGAATCCGCCCCACTGGGTCTCAAAGTTTCAATGTAATCCTTATGGAAGCAGTATTTGACACATAAACAAAGACATATGATCAGCTGTTGACTTTTGAATGCAGTAGATAAAGAAATAGCTGATAGCACAATTCCACAGATATTAGAACAGAAACTATATGGATCATAAATATAATCAAATGACGACACTAGCTTCAGGTCGAGGTGATCCGTGACGAATCAAGTGGTGAAGGAAGTAGTGAAGGAAGTAGTAAAGGTGAGCAGTCTGGAGTGTGGAAACTGTTTATGACGATTAGATTAAGGTACTGTATTTGCATTCCTAAATTTCTATGGGAAGGGAGGAAAACAGGTCCGTGACGTAGGAAGTGGTGAAGGAAGTAGTCAAGGCGAACTGTCCGGAGTGTGGGAACTGTTTATGACGATTAGATTAAGGTATGTGCAATCATATTATGCTATTGGAAGAGAAGGAAACAGGTCCGCGACGTAGGAAGTGGTGAAGGAAGTAGTAAAGGCGAGCTGTTCGGGGTGTGGGATCTGTTTTTGACCATTAGATTAAGGTATTTGCAAACCTATGATGCTATGGAAAGGGAGGGAAACAGGTCCGTGACGTAGGAAGTGGCGAAGGAAGTAGTAAAGGCAAGCAGTCCGGACTGTGGGAACTGTTTGTGACGATTAGATTAAGGTATCTGCAATCCTAAAATGCTATGGGACGAAAACAGGTCCGCGACGTTGGAAGTGGTGAAGGAAGTAGTCAAGGCGAGCTGTCCGGAGTGTGGAAACTGTTTGTGACGATTAGATTAAAATGTCTACAATCCTAAAATGCTATGGGAAGGGAGGAAAACAGGCCTGCGATGTAGGAAGTGGTGGAGGAAGTAGTCAAGGCAAGCTGTCTGGAGTGTGGGGACTGTTTATGGCGATTAGATTAAGGTATCTGCAATCTTAAAATGCAATGGGAAGGGAGGGAAACAGGTCCACGACATAGGAAGTGGCGAAGGAAGTAGTCAAGGCGAGCTGTCCGGAGTGTGTAAACTGTTTATGACGATTAGATTAAGGTATCTACAATCCTAAAATGCTATGGAGGAATTGAGGGCGTAGGAGGAAAACAGGTCCGCGATGTAGGAAGTGTTGGAGGAAGTAGTCAAGGCGACCTGTCTGGAGGGTGGGAACTGTTCATGACGATTATATTAAGGTATCTACAATCTTATAATGCTATGGGAAGATGTATGTGGGGTGATGCAGGTCCGCGACGTAGGAAGTGGTGAAGGAAGTAGTCAAGGCAAGCTGATGTCCAGAATGGAAACTGTGGAAACTGTTTATGACGATTAGATTAAGGTATCTGCAATCATATTATGCTATTGGAAGAGAAGGAAACAGGTCTGCGACGTAGGAAGTGGTGAAGGAAGTAGTAAAGGCGAGCTGTTCGGGGTGTGGGATCTGTTTTTGACCATTAGATTAAGGTATTTGCAAACCTATGATGCTATGGAAAGGGAGGGAAACAGGTCCGTGACGTAGGAAGTGGCGAAGGAAGTAGTAAAGGCAAGCAGTCCGGACTGTGGGAACTGTTTGTGACGATTAGATTAAGGTATCTGCAATCCTATAATGCTATGGGAAGGGTATATTCAAACCTACAAAACAGTTAGTTAAAGTAAACATCTGCTTTTAGCGAATTTCCCTATAGGGAAGTAGCTATTACCGTTGGTGGCACGGTAAGACCTAGGCCCGGGACCAATTTACTTTTTCATTTTGATGTTCCCAGAGGCCAAAAACACCATTCGTTCAAGTTTTTATATATGTATATATATATATATAGGCCTATATATACATCCGTGAAAGCGATAACTTGAGTAATTTTTGTTCGATTTTGATAATTTGGTTTAAAGGTGTAAGGCGGGATAAACTTGAATGAGTTTGTGAACCAGCATGATCGGACCATGGGAACGGGATTTTACGGGGGTTTTTGGGGTAAACATTGGTTTTTCTAATTTTTTACCCTCAAAACACAAAATTTCCCAATTTCTCTCTAGACCTTTTAAAAAAGCTTAAAAAAACAAATAATTTAGTATATCGGAGAAAATTCAAAGAAGAATTCTTATGTTATTCTAATGGAGAATATTGTAAAATGTTGTAGTTTGCTTGTTTATCGACATATTTTGATAAATCTTGGAATTATATTTATTTTATACTAAGCTATTAAAATTTTCCTAAAAAATACACTTTATTAGTTTCCTTACAGCAGCAAACCTAGGTACTCGTTAGACCTAATGTTATTTGGTACGGTATATCAGCTGAAAGGTGGGCTATTCCATGTCAAGTCATCCAGGGGTTGTCACCCACTAGTCACAGATTTTCATGAAAATTTGTACACATAATTTAGACATTTAGATATGATAAAATCCAAAATTTCAGTTCATTATGTCAAACTGTTTCAGAGATATGGCTATTTGAAGTTTTGAGCGAATACAGTTTCCGAGGTCCAATTTGACGCTAAGGGAGCGTGCATGTATTCTCGTCTTTCTATATATCCAAAATTTAATGCAGAATCATATAATACAATTAAAATGATAACTATTACCTATTATCACCCAAAACCGCTGTTTAGAGACAAAGCAAGCTCATAAGTTGGCAGCCCTGCTTCCTTAACTTTATTACCTGGGTCATTCCACGCCAAATCATCCAGCCAAAAGTAGACTTGTCACCCAAGGTTTTCTGATTTCAATAAAACTTTGCATAGATAATATATACATATAGAGCCATTTTAAGTTTCCCACAAATACAGTTTCCGAGGCTTATTTTTGCGCTAAACTGAAATGCATATATTCTCGTCTTTCTATGTAAAAAGGACAATATTGAAGATATGGGCTTCAAATTTTACTTATATATCCAAAACTTAATGCAGAATCATATTACACAAGTGAAATGATAACTATTGCCTATTATCACAACAACAAAAAATCCTAAATACAAATAATTTGATTTTTCCAAAATCGGAACATTCCAGTTACAGTACAAAAGGTTTGATAACAAAAATCTCTCTCCAGATAAACACCTATAAAACTATATATCACTGGAAAGAGGATAAAATTATCTTTCAAATGGTATAATAACATGAGTGGGGTTTTGAGTATTAACATTGTTATCACACGTGAAAGTCAAAAATTAAATTTGATTAAGCTAAAAATTTCATTTGATGCCGAATATGTATGATGAACTTAAAAAATACAAAAGGTCAGGGCCGTGCTGGCCAGGCGGGCAACCGGGCAATTGCCCGGTGCGCCCTCCCAAGGAATACCCAATTGACGCCCTAGCTCTAAAGGCAAAAAATAAATAAATAAATAAATAAATAAAAATAAAAAAATATGGTTTTGGTTTCCTCACATAACAATCTTGAGAAAAAATCTTTAATAGAAGAAGTTTTACATCAGTGTATTTCATAACTGAATGCTATGTCTGAGACAGAATAAAAACGAATTTGACGTTGAACGGTTGGCAGTACGGAAAACTAAAGTCCGTCCGTTCGGCTGTGATACCCAGCGGATTAGGACGCTTCTCGGAACTCGACCTACCCTCCCCGACCGCTCGCCGGGCTGGCCAGCGACAAACAATGACTCATCAACTTTACCAGTCCCACAGATTTGTAATTTTTTTTATTTTAATTTGAAATAAATTGTTATTTATATATTTAATTTCTACATGAAATTCTGAAAATAATGAGCCCAGACACGATGTAATTACTTAATGTATACGATCTGGAAGTCGGACAACTCTGATGACGGTATACTGTAGTTTGTTTATAGTGTATAAAGGAT